GAAATTCTTTGCCATTTAGTTTTGGAGAAACATATCTCTCAAAAGATATCCACAGCCACGTCTCAAATTATCCATTCGTCCATAACTCGCGAATGACATGCTCCAAAGCCTGTCACACATAGACTTTCGATTTTACTTGTCCTCGCAGGAAAAAGGATAGCGGATCTTCGTGGCCAATCGACCGGCCCAAAACCATAGATTATCTGTTCACCAAAGGGTTCGCTCAATAAATCCATTGATGGATGCGATGTGAGTGAAGCGGCGCAGTCTTGTTGAAACCAAACGTCGCCGAGGTCATAAGCTTCAATTTCAGGCATCAAAGTGCAGGTTATAATGGCGTGATAACGAAAGCCATTAACGGTAGCGTTATCAGCGACTCACAAACCCCACCAAACGGTTGGCTTCTTTTTTGTTTTGGATCAAATGACACCGCTTGAATCTCTTTAGGTTACTCTTCGTCCCAAATGCCGCAATTTTGCTTTTTTAATGTACATACCCATTGAGCCAGAAATGGATCTCATCGTTGAAAAAAATTTAGCTCGAAAATGTCGGATCTTTTTGGAATTGTTCAAGAACCCATCGCTTGGGATGGTCGAGCGACTTTTGTATGCTTTCAATTTAAGATCTCGATATAAAATGCGTCAAGCCCTTCCATACCTCAGCGTTCTCACCGACCCACAAATCACACCAAACCGTTGATTTTTCTGGATGAAATGACAGCTCTTGAATCTCTTTAGGTTACTCTTCGTTTCAAATGCGGAAATTTTGCTTTTTTACATATCCACTGAGCCAGAAATGGATCTCATCGTTGAAAAAAATTAGGATCGAAAATGTCGGATCTTCTTGGAATTTTCCAAAAACCCTAAGAGCAAAGTTATTTCGCTTGGGATGGTCGAGCGACTTTTGTATGCTTTCAACTTAAGATCTCGATATAAAAATGCGTCAACCCCTTCCATACCTCAGTCGGAGTTGTAGCGGACGGCGCCGAATCGATTCTTAACGGTTTTCGTGTACACTCCCAGCTACGGCCGCAATATTTTCTTCACTGCATGCTGGACGTGGTCTATGCGGTTGAGTATTGTTCAATAATCAATGCTGGTTCTCAAGATGAGTAGTGAGGTTGCAAATAGTAAGCTGAGCGAAGCGCGCGAACCACATTCTTTTCAGAACGTGAAATTTCTTCAGAAAGTTAAACGATTTGTAAACGTTGTTCAGGCATAAGTTTTTCCATGATGAAATGCCAAACAATATTGAACAAAAATAATGGGACACTTTGACGCGACTCACAGAAAAATACTGTTGAAAAAGGTACCTCTACTTGGATCAGGCTTTATTTTAACTACAGAGCTGCCTTTATTTATACCTTTGAGACAATACCAAATTTATGAAGCGTTATTATAGGAATAAATATTAATTATAAAAACCGTATATTTCAAAATTAATCTACAACTCTGCCATCTCCTTCAAAGTAATCCCCCTTAGGCGGTTATAAAACGATTCCAGTGCGTAAAATTTCTGGAACGCTTCAACTTGGATGTCCGCGAGTACCCTCGTCACGGCCGACTGGATGTCCTCAATCGACTCAAAGTGGGTTCCTTTGACCACCGATTTTGTTCTAGGGAGCAAAAAAAGTCATAGAGTGACATATCGGGCGAATGAAGCGGTTGTTGCTACACGGCGCTTCCTTTAGAGGCCAAATACTGTCGTGATAAAGGATCCAGTTACGAACGATGTCTGGGTGCATCCTGTTGACTCGTTCTCACAATATTTTGAGTACTTGGCGATAGTAGACTTGATTTCCGGTTTGCCCGGGAGAATAAATTCTTTGCGGAGAATAAATTCTATCAAAAAAGGCAATAATATTTTTTTCACCTTCGACTTGCGAGTTTTTTTTCGGCCGGGGGCGTGCGGAGACAACCATTGTGAGCTTTGGCGTTTGGTTTTCGGGTCGTATTGAAAACAACCAGCTCTCATCGACTGTAATAACTCGATCAAGCAGCGCCCAATCGGACGCAAAATTTTATAGCGACACGTTGCTCTTGATTCCGTTTTCCAATTTCGTGATGAGCACCACCAACACATGTTTACTCAACACGACACAGCAGGCGAGCTAAACAAGCTAGTACGATGTCAAATATATCAATGGAGAGGAGAAGGGTGCCGGGAGAAGAGGAAGGGAAAGTTAAGGTCGCAGGATTACCACAATCGCTGCAATATAATCAGTCTTATTACTTAACTGTCATATCTCGTATATGAAACTCACATGGGAGAAGACAATATGATGAGGTTTCCTGATTTGGATGATTTTTGGCGACAATGTTTATTTGTATATATGTACATACGTCAAGCTTTTCGATGCTTTTCATGGCGGACCTCAAATCAGAGAAAAGTTGTAGTGGTCCGACATATGATTGTATACATATGAGAGTGCAACTGTTTACCGAGTTTGGTTGAAGTATCTCAAAAGCTGAGTGACTAGTTTGTGTAAAAAAAGACGGACCGACGGTCATGGCGAAACAACTCCTTCTGGTATGCACATACTCTGGACCATAGTTATTATACTATTTCATGTCCGTGGAAGGCATAAACATTTTTCAGGGGATTCGTTTAAGACTGAATCAAAAGTTGCAGCTCTTGACTTTAAGTTTGGATTTATTTAGAAAATATTTCTGTACAATCGAGAGGCTTAACGATTTATTTTATGCTGATGATTGTGATTTTTGAATTAACCAGGAAATACTAAACTGCGGAATCAAATTTTGTAAATTGTTCTTGTCAAATAACTGGTTATGTAACGAGGCAGCGTTTCACAAAAAAAAAGTTATATATATATATATATATATATATATATCAAAATGCACGAAAGAGAATTGAAAAACAACAATTGCCGAGAAATGACCACCAATTGTTGTTACACCGTCGCTTCACTTATGACGAATTGTCAAAAATTACAAATCTTTGTAATATACGAAATCAAATTTTTACAATTAAACTGGTTTTCCAATACTTTTGCTTAACGAAAAAAAAAGTGAAATGTGTGAATTGAGTAGTCGCCTTGTAGAGGTTTGTAAGAAATCTGAAACCGAAATTGAATTTTCGCACCATTCGAGCGCATGCATTGAATTATGGTTGAATTATGGTTTTGAATGCCACTAAAAATCTAAAAATGAAATGAGACTGATTTTAAGGAAAAGTTAAGGGAAAAATTTATTAGAAGACAAAAAAAAAAAAAATAAATAAAAATAAATCGAGAAAAACATGTTTGCCGGCCATTTGGTCAACTCAACTTTGGCGGCCAAGTGTCAGCGCTTGTGCGCTCGAAAAACTATTGCCTACTGGAAATTGTCTCAACTTTTCTCACGCCATGCCAAGGTCCGGTTGTGGGGTCAGAGGGCGTAGAATGGCAGATAAGAAATCGCTGAGGTACACAAAAAAAAAAATCAGCTAACGGCATTTCCAACTTCCGCAAATGCAAATGCCAACACAGCGACGACGATAGTGCGCTTATGATTTCCTGTATTCAAATAATTTGTTGCATGACTTTGCTTGCTGGCGCGGCTACTTTGCGCGTTTTTTGGGGTGAAAAAATGCAGCGGAAAAATATCTCTCACACTGCAGCCGGTTTTTTTGGTTGAATTTCACGTGTTTTATATTACAAATACCTACGCTTAATGTGCGCGCCACCACCACCAACACCACCACCACCACCAACATTCATTTTTCCACCCTTTCTCGTGTAGGGAGAGACACATATATATATATGACGCGCTGGTTGCTTCACGTATATTAAAGCGCTGGTGATTTAATTTTTTCTCTTGATTTTACTATTTAATGCTATGTTTGTGTGCTTGCGCGCTCGTAACGCGCTAGTTCTAATTAAGCGCTTTTGGTTGAATTTCCCACGATTTTTCGATTTTTCATGGTGATTTCCGTTGCTTTGTGATATAAACGTGCGCGCACAACCAATTTTTTAATTTTCTTTTACTTTTTATACTTTCCCCCGCGCTCAAGTTGCTGATCTGTAGACAAAAATGATCTGCAGAGAAAAAGGGAAATCCGGTCTCAGTGCGCGGCTGCTGCGCGGTGGTGGCGTGATATGCGCGCGTTGACCGCCAACTATTCGCGCCGCTCTGAAACAGACGCTACACTCCGCGGCCTTGAGCGGAAATATCAAGAAACCTACATTTCTTCGCAGCGTTTAGTTGTGTTTGTTCACTATTGCTTACAGTGGGTTGTGCGGCTTTTAAGAAGTATATACGCAACTCCTTTTTATATGTTCTTTTTTGTTTTTGTTTTTTTTTTTTGTGTATCCTTTTTATCATTGTTTTATATCAGTTGCCAGTTGTTGTTGTTTTTTCTCAGCGTTCAGCTGCTTTGGAACAGCCCTCAGCTTCCATATAAATCAACCTTTTTGATGAAAAATTCACGCGTCCATCTTATTTACCTTTGCTTACTTGGACTACCTTCACGTTGCTCAGTAAACACTTACTTACTTTCGCTATGCAAATATAAATAACTGTATTTTTTTTTTATTAATCCAATGCAATGCTCTTATTTACTTTGCATAATTCCACTCAGCGCACCGGACCGAAGAACCTTTTTCACATCGAGAACGCGGCGGTAGCAACTTGAATTAATTTATTTGCCTACTAATATATTTTTCTCAGTAACGTTGTTGTTGTTGCTGTATGTGATCTAGTTATTAATTTTTTTTTTATGTTTTCTAGAGGTTCTCCTTATAAATTCGATATAATTTTGTTGATCTTGTTAAACTTGTACGCCGCTGATGAGATGCCTATGGCCAGCTGGTTGGACTGAGTGGCGATCTTGACGATCTTAACGATCTCCTGGCGAGCTAAACAATCCTCAAAGCTACCCTACTTAAGTACATTTATATATATACGTATATATATACACATATGCAAAAAAAAAACACCCTTCAACCTTTTTTGAGAAATTTAAATTATTTAAAATATTTTTTTTTACTTTCGATTACTCAGATTCAATACTCGTTTAGTTGTGATGAGGTGTGATGAGAATTTATAATAATGCTACACAAAAGCAAGGCAGCAATAAGTAATGAGAAGAAGGGACTGCAAGAAAAAATAAAATAAAATAAAATAAAAATGCCCAGAAGTGGTCATATTAAAGTAAAAGTGGCGGTTGTAATTGGATATCATAAACCCAAGGGCTGGCTGGTCAGATCAGTTGTAATGAGAACTATCAAACACATTCCACAAAGGGACACTGTGCGCGGTGGTAAGGAAAAGTAGGAAAAATCCTGTTTGGTTGTGTTAAAAGGTTAAGGGCTTCATTGCTTTCTTTATCTGTAATTATTTTCTTATTTCAGTTTTTATAAATTTTTGAAAAATTTACCTCTTACAACTTTTCTGTCCCATTGAAGCATAAGCGTTGCTTTATTAAATCAGTTGAGTTTTCATTATGACCTCAAGTGTGCAGTTGATGATTAATTTTTGATCTCATAGAAGGGCTACACAGCGCAGCGGCGCCTAACCTACTGTCTTTCTGTTGTAATCGTCTTACAATGGCATGTACTGTTTCGGATTTATTATGTAGAAAATGTGGCGAAAATTGTGTGAGAAGGCATTTAAAACTGTAGAGAAAGGTAAATGGGCAAGAGTGACCTGATAAGCAGAAAGCTGAAGTGCTGGCTGCTAGTAAATCGTATAAATTTTTGAATAAATTACAAAAGTATAATAGTTCTCAGAGCGGACAACTTGGAGATGGTAATCTGCTTGGGAAGTTTGGCGGAATTTGTTGCAATTCGGATCTTTGGTTGAGTATCAATAATATATAATACAAGGTGCGCGCCAAAGTAAACAGGACTTTTTGAATCTATCACCCTCTAGTGACGCCATAGTGACTAATGCGTTAGAATCTGCAATCCTTTATAGATTTCCAGCAAAAATTTTATGACATTTCATAAAACCACGACGGATTCTCAGAGAGCAGGGTGTATTGCTTTAATATATATGGAAAATTTTTTAGACAATATCAAAGTAGGTTAAAAGGATTCGTCAAGAAATTGTTAAAATCATTTTAAGCTTTAAGTCTCTCCATACTCATGCCGATTGCTCTCCAGAAAATTTAAGAGAAAGTGTAAAAGCCAAGGTGAACTACTTCACCAAGTTGTTAAGCAGTTGGATGAGAGATGCCAAGTAACTCTACGGTTGGACACTTCAGAGAGATCTTTCATCAACCACATGTGTATATGCATCAACGCAAAGCTGAGTACTTTTTTCGCCACCACTGACCTTCTATTACACATTTCAAAGCTCAAAGTAACAAAAAAAAACAAAAACTTTTAGGTGAAAAATAAATATTTGTAAACCGTCTTAACATAATAAAAATATGTAATATCTAACTGCATACATACACTTGTGGTTGATGTAGGCCGACACTGTTGCAACCACAAGCAAATGATCTCAGACAAGGATTGATTAGACGCTTACCACAATCCATTTGGACAAACACCAAACGGAGGCGGCACAAAGTAAATGAAGATATGCCGCGTCACTGCAGCTAAGAGCATTAAATATGGGCTATTCCAGGCTCAGGCGGTTGGAAGGCTCTTAAAATTATTACAGAGCAGGCGCAGTTTAAAAACGAAACTTTTCTTATTGTCACTCATCATTGGGCGGTCGGAGTAGCCGAGTGGTTAGCATTGCTTATTGCCATTCGGAAACCTCGGGTTCAAATCGCCGTGCGGCCAACATCAACCCCTCCAAGTGTATTTCTGACATTAAATAAAACTCTTCATAAAAAAGCATTACCCGTTCAGAGGCGGCCTTGTATAAAGAGTAGGTCCCCCCATTTGTTGGAAAAACAACAAGACGCAAAACCACAAATCGAATGAGGAGCTGGGCCGAAAATCGCTTCAGCGGTTACAAAGCCTCTCTCTTCATCCACCGTAACTGTTGCTCCAGCCAAATTTTGCGAAAAATAAACACCGACGGCCCCGCCGGACCATAAACCACGCCAAATGGGCCTCATCAGTGAAGATTACTTTTCGACGAAATTCCAGATCTTTTTCATGTATTTCAAGGACACAATCAGTGTCTTTGCTGACTGGCTTTAATTTTTGTATTACCTGAATTTTATAAGCTTTAAGACCCAAGTCTTTATGCATATTACGGTGTAATGATGATTACGGAATGCTTCGTTCCAAAGAACGACGATGAATGGACAAATCTAGATTTTCTTCAACACTTTGGTCTACAGCACTTGTCTCACGACAAGCGAGAAATGTTTAGTGTTACGAGCCGTTGGGTTAACCTGAAAAGTCTGACACCCTCGTGGTTTGGAATCACCCATTTCTGTAAGTGAGTGTAAGACTTGAGTACGAGTAAGACTTCTCTGCTCACTTTTGACTCCATAAATATTTGTGATGTTATTGAACATTCATCAAAATAAAATATTATTATTATTTTTTTAAACTGCAGCAGCCGTGGCGGTTGCTCGATGGTGCTGTTGATTAGTTTTTCTACTTATAGCATCCACGGGTGAATATATATATTATATATATATTATATATATATATATATCTGTGCTGTGTGTATGTTAACTCGCACGTTCGGCTACTTATTTTAGAGTCGAGTATCTCTCGATATTTGCGGTATACCGTAGTGATCACATCGAAAGTGTTTTCGATCCACCAACAGCTGCAGTAGCAGGCCATCAGATCATCAACATTCAGATGTCGAACATTTGGTCAATGCATGCGTTGAATGTCTAGATATATTTGCTGTTTATGACCCGCGCCGTCATTGCCAATTATTACTCTTGCTGTTGTTGCTATACATAGCGTAAACAATAATTTATTTTGGACGATATTACAACTTTGTTCGTTCACTAGTTATTATCGGTCATTCTTCTTAGCTGAATTCACAATAGCACACCAGCCGTTTCTTCTTTTCGTGCCTTAGCGCAATTTGGATATAGTAAGTGAAACCAGATCGCTCTCCACCTGATCCTTTCAATGTAGTGAAGGTTTTGCACTACTTGCAGCCGGTACTGCATCGAAATAAAGTTGGAGTGCTTTCATTCATACGGGCGGACGACGTAACCTAGCTGAACTAAGTAATGGAAATGTCGCCTTATATCTCGTACAAGTCTCTGCATCATACCATATAGCAGGACGGAAGTGAGCTTGGCCTTTGTCCGTCGAAAAGGGATTCAACTGCCTACTCAGCCTAAGTGAAGTGCTTCGTTGTAGCATTTGAAGGCATCAACATATGACAACTCTGCAGCTTTTGTTTTTTCTCCAGTGGCGGCGTGTTGCTATTCTGTGGAGCAGGGCTCAAGTCTGGGTTCCACCAATATCTAAAATTATAAAAAATTAATTTTTTTCATTGCAGTCGCGTCTCGCCAGTGAACTTCAAGCCCTCCGATTGTATTTCTGATATGAAATAAAAAGTTCTACATAAAAGCTCATCGACCTCTTGGAGGCTAGATACTTAGAGCAAACTGTAAGTCTCTCCATTTGTTGGAAAATATCAAGACGCAAAACCAAAAATGGGTAAAGGAGTTCGGTCGAAAATCAATGTGGTGTTTATTAAATGCCAAATATATATGTATAGTAATTTGAAGAAGTCAGACGATAAAGACTCACCTTGTCTGAAGCATCGTTTGCTACTGAAGGGCTCGAAGAGATCCTATTCAATAATGACTTCTAGTATCTTCCAGTGTCATCTTACACAGCCGTATAAGTTTTGCAGGTATACAAAATTCATGTGAAGTTGGAATAAAGTGCCTAAGCCTTCTACATATTGGGTTGCCTAAAGACCATATCGGATAAAAACTTCTGAGAAAACAAATTCATAAATTTAGAAAAGTTCTTATCGCTCCAGTGTAAGCGACGTACCGCTAAAAATAATATAATGCATAGATCTGTAAGTGATATACCGGTTTCATTGGATAACGACACTTCTCAATTTTCCATTAAAATCCGACTCAACAAAAGAGAAGTTCATTTCATTTGGTGTTAACCAGGATCAAAATCAGGACTATAATGATCTGTATAACCATGGTGAGCTCGATATCCAGTAAAATTGCCACGTCTATAGTTTTCAAGTTGGTTAAGATATCCACACCGCACCACACTTTTTGTAAACAAAATAAACTTCTTGTTATAGGTCAATGTGCTTTAATTAAGGACCTTCTGGCGAATCAAATATTTTGTTATACCACAAAGAAAAATAGTACACGTGGCAGCTGTTTCGGAGATTCTTCTGGCAGGGATCAAACCAACGTTCCTTGACTTAATAGGCGAATGCTCTACCACAACGCTTACATCAGCCATGTAATCTGTGCTTGTAATATTCAATTCATTTGAGTTGAGTTGAGTTGATGCGGCTGCTGCTACCAGCACACTTAGCCCAACATGCCCTTAGTGATACCGCTGAGGCTCCTACCTTCAGCATTTCAGATGATCGGACCATTTTGTGTGCTTTATAAAAGCAACGACATTTCCAATATTCGCTGAGGCTAAAGCTGTTTGGTCACGTTACATGTGATCTCGTTCAACCACATTGTGTCAGCTATTCAATTCATTTACTGCCTCCTCAACTGATAACTCCAGATTCGTTTTTGAGGCTGTAGCGAAGAACATTCGTTGTTTAGTTCAATATGAACTCGTTTCTATGGGAAAGAGTTATTTGCGCGAAAACATCCGGAATTGTGGTCCAACAATTCGTGGTTTTTTCATGACGATAATGTGCCATCGCACCGAGCTCTAGTTCTGAATGATTTTAAGTTCAAAAACTTGTGCAATGCCATCGATCAATCGTCGTATTCACTGGATTTGGCACCATGCGACTTTTTTTGTTTCCAAAACTAAAGTTACCACTCTGTGGAGCTCGTTTCGACTCAATTGAGGCCGTAAGAAACATTCCCAGAGGGAACTGAGTCGACAGCTGCTGCAAATAAACTGGTTTCCAGATCGCGCTGATTTTTGACATGGTAATTAAGGATGGTGCTACTTTAAAAAAAGTGCAGAAAAATATTCAGCGCGAGCAGTTTAAATGGCAATTTCCAGCTACTTTTTGGTCTTAATGTATATATCTGTCGTATTCCGACCAACGATAAACAATAAAAGAGCGACAGGCGGTTCGATTTTGACTCACTCCCTGAGGAGCATAGGATCTAGACCGACTTCGGAAGGTATTGGGTTGATGAAATCTGTAATCTTAAAACAGTGTCTTTCAGAAATATCTATTAATAATCGGCTGCGCCCGAATTCGACTCGCCCTCGATATTTTGCTAATTTTAACTTTCTGTTGTTTTTGTAGTAGTGGTTTACATGAAAGATGTAATTAAGTATACAACCTGTGCCATGGCAAAAGTAGAGACTGCGTATGTTGGAGTGCTTGCGAACCACGGAGCTCGGCAGCACCGCGTCTTTATTGCTATACCTACCTGCAGTAACAACAACAATAAGTATATAGAGACTGATTACTTGTAACAAACACTTTGTAATATTTGTCGGCGAGACCGAAGTGTTGCTACTGTCTGTTACCACAAGTTGCCGACCGAGTAGGTGTGTTGTTTTTATTATTGTTGTTTTTCACATTACGGCGGTTGAGTTCTAAGTTAGTCGCCGTAAATTGACTGCAACGAACTTTGTGGCTCGCGCATGTCGGGGCGGGATTTTCGTTGCATTTATTATAATTGGCATGCGTGTTGTTGTTACTGTTGTTGTTGTTTCGGCATGACTGATGACAATTTTCGCACTTTCTTGCAACCAAAAAGATGATTGATGATGTTGCAACATGCAAGCCAAGCGGCGAATAAGTGCATCGTTTTCAGAGTTTCTCATTTGGTGAAGCAACATACATACATATGTGTGCACCAGAGACACACGCGCACACATATAAACATACTTCTGAAGTGCATGTATGACTAATTTTTTCAGCGTCGCGTCTGTGTGGCTGAGGAATTGTAAATTTATATTAAATTACATTCGCAATTAATTAAGCGGCTCGTTTAGTTTTACGACACCGCCGTCGGCGAGGTCTTGAAACAGGAGCTCTACCCTCTGTTGCTGTTGCTGTTGCTGCAACGTAGTCGCTGTGTGAGGTTGCCTGCATCCTTTCCCAACCTTCTCTGCTCACATTTAGTGAGTTGTTTGTTGTTGTTAGTGTTTGTTGTTTTTTTTTTTGCCGTTTTATCTTTATTTTGCTGCGAGCTGTTTGTCGTCGTCTCCTTTGCAACAAAGTAAACAAATCACACACTAACAGCTACAATAACAAATTAACAACAAGCGGCTGCCTGTAGCCAGCTAGACAGCAAGGCAGCAAGACAGCGGTAGAGCCAAGTTCGAAGCAGGAGCGGGAAATGGTAATGAAGGGGTGATGGGACGCAGAGGCTCATAGACAAGGGCAGGACACCCTTGAAGCAGCCTGCGGCAGAAGAACAGTAGTCATTGTCGTTAGTGTGTGTGCACATATACAAGTATGTACATACAATTTGCTAGCGCATTTTGCCTGCTGCATGTTGCAACTTAGCGCCGCAGCTTTGGGCGGTTTGCAGCGCTTTGCTGTGCCCAAATGAGCTGGTAATTCGATACAACTGGGAAGCTGCTAAGGCGCGCTCGAGAGTATTCGGCCCTGAAGGCATTTTTGTCATTGTTGTTTATTTGTTTGAGTTTTTTTTCGCTTGTTGTTGTTGTTGTTTTTGATGTTGATTTTCCTCCAACAACAAGACATTTAAATATATTTACTACCGCGTTCTTCCCATCAGCACAAATTTAAAGCCAAATTACCTGCTTGAGAGAGAGAGAGATATGTAATGAAAACAACAACAACAACAACAATAACAATAACAAAAACAATTGAAGTGACAAACAAATCACTGTAACTGTAAAAGTTAACAAGCACACAACAGCGACAATGGCAAAAGACAATGAAAATAGAAAGAAGAACAAGAAGAAGAGTGAGTTAACTTCAGAGGTGTAAATTAATAGCAGCAGCAGAGGCTGAAGACAACTAAGATGGGCAGTGAAGGCGTACACACAATACAGTGATCTCGTAAGACATTAATTAATTTTTATGGGATCTATGCAGAGCAAGAGTGGTTGTGAGGTCAGCAAGGAACTGACCTTAACGGACAACGTGTCTCCGATAAGAAGCTTCAGAGTCGCAAGAACACCATAAAAGTCGATGCCCGCAGCATGGAAGTCTTAAACGATGATTTCAAAAAGACTAAGACGATGCTTAGGATTGGTAAGACCTCCGGGAAGTTGCCGATTCCGAAAGACAGCATAGTTCGATACAACAACTTATGACACCCCCGCAAGCAGGATCTAGACTATCTGCAATTATAAATATATATATATATATATATATAATATTGGTGCTCTGTAACCGCTGAAGCAATTTTCGGACGATCAATTGAAAGAGGAAAATATTTTTCCAACAAGCCGCCTCCGAATGGCCAATGTTTTTTTATGTGTAGCCTTTATTTCATGTCAGAGATACACTCGGAGGGGTTGACGTTCCCTGCCGAGGGGCGACTGCAATTAGAAAAATTAACTTAAATTTTTAATTTCAATTAATTTTCTATGAATTTTTCATGTTGGTCGGACAAGGACTCACAACCTTACCTTCGCTACTTCCAAATACGCATAAGTAAAAATATCCTCCACATCATAGCAACCCTTGGCCAGTGCAGATTTTGAGTGAGAATGGTTTCTCTCATCGCATCCAAATTTTTTCCTACATAGCTCTAAGACCTAACTTTAACAAGCCGCACATGGGGAGGGTAGATAAAAGTGGTTGCCGATAAGTGAACATCCATTTACTAATCCAAAGTTACCAGGAAATGATTATTTGCCTCTATGGCTTGTTTTCCATCCAAGTAGACTTCTTAAAGAATTTTACTGCCGTTAACTCTAAATTTTGTCNCTCTCCATTCAATAATTCGAGAATTTTCGCAGCTCAAAGGCCATTTCGCTTATTTATCCCCATTTCGAGTGAGAAAAAAATTTTGTTGGTAAAATGCTTCTTGTTGTTTAAACATCTAATCGACGTATGTACGGCGTAGTGAGCTGGCTTCAGTTGCTGTATAGGCTGACTTTTATATGGATGTGGGTGTAAGCCCAAGTGCTAAATACGTCTTAATGTGCTATAAGAAAGTTCCAGTTCTTGAGAACGTCTGGATATAGACACATTCGGGTCTTTGACTACACTTCCATTTACTGCAGCCAGTTTTTATACTGAACCTACAATAAATGTGCTTTGAAGTGAATATTTTTACATTGATGCATCTTATTGCTGTGGAAATAAATGCTAAATAAAAGAATTAATTTTTCAAAATTCTGTTTCCTTAATTTATTTTTTTTTTTTTACTTAATTCTGATTTTGCTACACAATTTCGCATTTACCTTATTTATTTGATTCTGATTTATTAAGGGGCACATCTTTTTTCATATTTCGGTAGATTACACCTTTAAAAATAACATATTAAAATTAGTTTTGAGTTATAGCAATTTAAAGAGCAGCCGCTCGGCAGCTGGAGAGTCTCATTAGCTACGAGTGAAAACGATCATTTTATTTTTAAACGCGTTTTTTTTTTTCGAAACAGCATATTCCGCATTTGCTGCAGTTATAACTAAAAATCAAATTATCCGATCACTATTGAATTATTTTTACATGCTCTATACATATAGATCTATCGATTTTTGATCTGATCGAAAAATAGAATTTTGGCAGCCAAAAACGACCAAAATTTTGGGTAAAATTTGACTTTTTTTTTTTAAACGTCGCCATATTGCCAATTTATGATTTTTTTATATTTATATTATTTATATTTATATATTCTTATTCTTATAATATTAACTAGTTTTACGAGAATTTTTTTTAGATTTCATCCACGGAGAAGGCCGGAAACATTGGCGCAGTGAAGGACCTTTTTATCGCGCTGTTGGATATCGACTATAACTTACAAAATATTTAATTTTTTTCTCCAAAAATTTCACTGTATATTCTTGAAACGTGTATAAATATAATCTTAAAATTTTGAAATAATTGATAAAAAATTTTTAATAAAAATTCTCAAAAATCACCTTTTTTAGGCCATTACACTAGATGTGCCCCTAAATGTTGATAATCTTTTTGAATTTACATTTATAAAATTTGATTATACTTGTTTTTTTTTTTCATAATGATTTCTCTCTAATTATTTGTATGCCTTTCAAAGATATGAAATGTTGTATCAACTTTAGTTCGAAGTATGGAAGTACCAGAGCGAAAATAGATAAAGCCATCAAAATTTCAACTCATCGGATCAGAAGGGCGAGCTCAGTTGTTTAAGGCGTACCCGTCTATCCGTCTAAATTTAGTACGCAGATGTAATGATAGTTCTTCCGAGCAAACCCAAGTGGACCGATATGACATTCCTATATTCCCCATACGACCCATTTTTCTCAGCTTTGAGAATTTGAGTTGTAAGCCCGTAAGCATTTAAGAGTGCGAAATTCTACACAGCGTGGTATTCTATACACGGGTTTGCGGAAGACAGCAATTTTGTGCTTTTTAATTTTCTTTTCTTACTAAACTCGTTTCTTTAATTTTATGTAAATTTTTGTGAAAATACAACATTTTCAGATACGAAAAGCTTATCTAGTGTGCAAACCCTAAAACAGGCAATATACAATTGTCCATGTATGAAGTCATCCGTATCTAAGTATAGACCACACAATTCCAAAAATTTACCCTGATCTTTGTTGATGGTGATTGCAAACGCCAGCCGAGTAAGGAATTGTAGTTACTTGAATTGAAAGAGAGTCTTAAACGGAATGTTAGGGATTCGAGGAATGCAGAAAGGTCTGGTCAGTCTTGTTACTGCTATAGGATCCACTCTTACTTTTTGTGTGCAATTGGTGGGTCGTTTCAGAGTCTCGTCTTATTAATATTAATATTTTCAAATTTAATATGTGCGTTGGTCCCTTGCCGAGTCCAAAGTATTCAAAACTTCTGCTGTATAATCGAGAGACTCATCTGCTTTTGAAACGGTGTCTATTGACTTTCATGTGACGGATTTGCTATCAATATTGTACTGAAAAGGGTGGTTGAGATCACAGACAGCTTAGTTTGTTGCGTCGATAATAAATCGCTCACTTAGCCACACATGATCCCTGCAAGTTTGATCAGTTCAGCATTTCTCCATTCTCCTTTTCCAGTAATTGGTGTGAAATAAAATTTGAAGTAAAAAAAAACCATTAATACTATGTACCGAGTTTCACGTAAATCGAATCAACAATAAGATTTATCCGAAAAGATCAGACCCTGGTTCACTTCTGGAAAATAGGAATAGTCTTGCGGTTAATAGTCCATTTACAATGTTGAATAAATTGAAAGATACTCAATAAGATATTTTTGAATGGATCAGTCCGTGGTCCGATTCTCTGAGAGATCTTTAATTTAACGCATTAGGATATAAGGTAAACCAAAAAAAATATTTTATTTTCATTCAGTCATTGTTAATTTTGTTAAATATTTTATGTATCCCTAAAATGTATTAAATTAAAGAAAACAAAACTGAAACATATAGCAATTATTTTGGAAATTAAAATTGAAATTTTAGATTGCCTTTGAAATGGAAAACGCTCCACATTTTCTAGCAAAATTTTCGGTTTAAACGACGCTACAGTAGGAACTATGAAATTAAAATTTTTAGCGAATATGAAATATTAAATTTTGCTATTAAACAGAATGCTAATGCTATAGGAAGCAGCGATAGTGAAGACCCTGTTAAACTTATAAAAATTTCATCCAAGTAGGACTTCAACTTGAAAACAAATTAGAATGCCATTTTGTCACAAACGATCGAAGGAGTTTTACAATTCCAACGTAAGCTGAATTTTGATAAGGTTCGTTACAAAGAATTATAGGAAGAGCTAGCAAAAATTGGCGAACAAGCGGGTCATAACAGATTTCACTGTTAAAAGTGTATAGACTCCGTACCAGCAAGAGAAAGTCCAGCTCAAAATTATTGCAGCGCTGATAGTGTTATTTTATATGTATTCGATGCAAGCGAATGCGAGTAACTGGTGATTACCATCATTATTATCATTTTAATTTTTTTTTAATTTAAAAATTGAATAACTTATTCCTTTACATAATTCCTGAACTTGTAATTTTTACATTTTTTCCATTACTTTCAAGTTTAGAATGCAAATCTTTTTTCTTTCTTTAACAACTATAACTGTGTAAAAAACACATTATACGTGGTGTGTTCAAAAAATATCGCGAATTTTGTTATTTTTTTCCAAAAACTTTTCATTTATTCATGAATATCTATTTTGTCCCCTTCAAAGTAATCCCCATGAGATATTATAAACTTGTGCCAACGGTTTTTCCAATCTTCGAAGCACTTCAAAACATCATATTTTTTTTATCTTGTTCAGCTCCTCCTCCGATGCCGTCTTTGTCTCGTCAATCGTAGCGTAACGTCGTCCTTTCATGGGCTTCTTCAGCTTAGGGAACAAGAAAAAGTCGCCGGGGGCCAGATCTGGGGATATGGTGGCTGCGACATCATTAGTGTGTTGTTTTTGGCCAAAAAGTCGCGCACAAGCAACGAGGTGTGAGCAGAGGCGTTATCGTGGTGCAAAAGCCAATTTTTGTTCTTCCACAAATCCGGGCGTTTCTGGCGGATTGCTTCGCGCAAATTGCGCATAACTTGCAGGTAATATTCCTTATTGACCATTCTAACCTGTGGTAAGAATTCCGGTAAACTTTGCTTCGGTCCAAGGTAGCTTCTCCGTATGCCACAGCCAACATTCGGAATGCATCTGCACACTTAATTTCGTTTTTCACACAAAATTTGATACAGGTTCTTTGATTCATTTTTTTGAATAGGTAAAAGTCGAAGACCATCCAAAACACGTGCAAGCACAGCAGCTGTCAACAATTAAGTGAACATTCAAAATGGCCGAGCTTGTCGGCATAAGGGACAGACATGAGTACCAACATAACGCCACAAAAAAATCAAAATTCGATTATACGTAACCCGCGAAAATTCATCTCGTATGTATGTGATAATAATTAATAAAAGAAGCCTAGAAATATCAACGTTTTTCACTAATTTCAATAGGTTTTATATATGAGGAACAAATCACTTACTTTACATACGATCAATGGTTTTTTTTACACGGGTTTTCGTGGAACCAATTACCGTGTAAAAACATAATTTCGTATACGAGATATGATCAGAAAATATCCGTTATTTTCAAATGTCGTGATTTGCGTATGTTCGATATTCGCTTTTATTTCTCTTATGTTATTACACATGTCTATTATATATATTGGCAATATGAGCCATTTTGGATTTTCAGTTTTTTATCGATTGTCGATTTTCTAGATTTATAGATTTTCTAGTTGGACATTTGAAATGTTGATTGTGGCGTTTGGCGAGTCTACTATGAGAAGAACACAAGTTCAATTGTGACATAACCGAAGGATGAGAAAATGTCAATGACAATACCCGTCCTGGTCGCCCGAACACGTCAAGTACGGTCAAATTTGAAGGTTTTGCTCACAGTTTTCTTCGGCTAGAATGGTGTGGTGCATCATGAAATCCTGCCGCTAGGTCATACGGTTAATAAAGAATACTACCTAGATGTTATGCGCCGTTTGCGCAAAGAGAGTCATCAGAAACACACAGAATTTGTGGAAAAAACAATCTTGAATTTTTGTTCACAAAATAAAACCGTTATCATGCCTCAACCACCGTATTCACCGTACTTGGCCCCCGCTGACTTTTCCATCTTTCCAAAACTGAAGACATTGGTGAAGGGAAAGCGTTTTGCTACGATTGAGGAGATAAAAGAAAAATCGAAATAGGAGCTATTGGCAATACCTAAAAAGGCGTTTTAGAAGTGTTTCGAGGATTGGAAAAAACGCTGTATTATATCTGAAAGGATTATTTTGAAGTAGACAAGATATTTGTTGATGAATAAATAGAAATCTTTTGAAAAAAAATGAAAACAACGGTTATTTTCTGATCAAACCACAAACATGTACACTGGCGAGCTTAACTGAGTGCATGTTGACTATACTTTTACTAAAAGTGTCATAAAATTATGAATTATAAAAATATGAAATTTTCAGAAGTTATTTCTTATTATATTAGGAAAAGAATGACGTTCTAAACATTACAATAAAAAAAACATAATCAACATAATTCCATACAAACACATAAGGCAAATCAATAAACTCAGCTTTGTACGTAATTTCTTTGAATTAATTTGCAATATGTTCCCATTCCGCCCTCACACGGTTCCAAAAGTGATTCGATTTTGTTAGGCATCCGATTGTATTGTGCCAAATGTCTCTTCAATTATTGAGGACACATTTCAATGGAATTGAAATTGCTTAATTTTTCATCTCCCGTGCCCTTAAACGCGCGTCTGAATTTTTTAACAAACTAGAACTACCTCCTGTATTCGGTATAGAAGCTACATTTCGTCGCATATGTATAGTAATCAAGGTGCGTCGACTCCCTTTTGATTTTCTAGTAACTAATCTGGAGTAGTAGCCACAATACTATTTTTGGTGTCCTTGCTGATTTTCCTTATTTTTTTTTATTTATTTAGTACTATTACTGATATCAAAAGTGAGTATTTATCATCTCACTTCGAAAGACTGAAACCTCAGCATAAATGACAAGCGACCTGCCAAATATAATAATAACTTTAAAGTTACTGTGAAACGTACACGGTGTGTCCTAAAACTAACTGAACTTTGCATTTAAATCCTGCAACATACAGCGCCATCTATTGAAGCAACATTAATAAGATACATTCATCCTCTTTCAAATGCACCGCACCTAACAGCATGTAAGTCGGATGACAGATGTAATAGTGACAGCCATTTCAATAAAACCAAAAGTGTGCTAATGGTTCGAAAATAAAATGGAACAAAGAACAAA